CTACAAGGATGATGAGGGGACTGGAGCATCTCTCCTATGAGGAGAGGCTGAGGGAGCTGGGCTTGTTCAGCCTGAAGAAGAGAAGGCTGCAAGGGGACCTAATAAATGCTTATAAATATCTAAAGGGTAGGTGTCAGGATGATGGGGCCAGACTCTTTTCAGTGGTGCCCAGTGACAGGACAAGGGGCAACGGGCACAAACTGAGGCACAGGAAGTTCCGTCTGAACATGAGGAAGAACTTCTTCCCTCTGAGGGTGACGGAGCACTGGAACAGGCTGCCCAGGGAGGTTGTGGAATCTCCTTCTCTGGAGATATTCAAGACCCACCTGGACAACGTCCTGTGCAGCCTGCTGTAGGTGACCCTGCTTCGGCGGGGGGGTTGGACTAGATGACCCACAGAGGTCCCTTCCAACCCCTACTATTTATTCTCTGATTCTGTGGTTCTGTGATAAGGGGAATGTATGATAAACAATTCTGACCAGTCATCGGAAAATCTGTTCTTTCTTTATCAGAATCTGTTCATAAGGTTCAGAAGCCTGAAGGGTTGTAATTTATAAATTTGAAAGCTTGGTTTCTGTATAACATGATCTGCAAAAGGTTTATTTAGCTATTAACAAAGTGTTTTGGTTTTGCCTGGGTAAATGCCAGGTGCCTACCAAAACTGCTCTGTCACTCCTCTTCCTCAGCTGGGCAGGGGAGGAAATGTGGTCAAAGGCTCGAGGGTCAAGATAAGGACAAGGAGAGATCACTCACCAATTACTGTCACAGACAAAGCAGACTGAACTTGGGGAGAAAAGGAAGTTTCATTTATCACCAATCAAATCGGAGTAGGATAGTGAGAAATAAAACCAGATCTTAAAACACCTTCCCCCCACTCCTCTCTGCTTCGCGGGCTCAACTTCGTTCACGTTTCTCTACCTCCTCCCTCCCTGCCAAGCGGCGCTGGGGGATGGAGAATGGGGGTTACGGTCAGTTCATCACACGCTGTCTCTGCCGCTCCTTGCTCCTCAGGGGGAGGAGTTCTCGACCTCTTCCCCTGCTCCAGCCTGACGTCCCTCTCACGGGAGACAGTTCTCCACAAACTTCTCCAATGTGAGTCCTTCCCATGGGATGCAGCTCTTCATGAACTGCCCCAGTGTGGGTCCCTTCCACAGGGTGCAGTCCCTCAGGAACAGGCAGCTCCAGCGTGGGTCCCCACGGGGTCACAAGCCCTGCTAGCAGACCTGCTCAAGCATGGGCTCCTCTCTCTGTGGGTCCGCAGGTCCTGGCAGGAGCCTGCTCCAGCATGGGCTCCCCACGGGGTCACAGCTTCCTTCAGGCATCCACCTGCTCCGGCGTGGGGTCCCTTCCACAGACTACAGGTGGAGATCTGCTCCACCATGGACCTCCATGGACTGCAGGGGGACAGCCTGCCTCACCATGGTCTTCATCACAAGCTGCAAGGGAAGACTCTCTGCTCTGGCATCTCGAGCACCTCCTCCCCCCTCCTCCTTCACTGACCTTGGTGTCTGCAGAGTTGCTTCTCTCACATCGTCTCACTCCTCTCTCTCTCAACCACCGTCTCACCCAGAGCTTTTTTTCTTCCAGGAACTACTGGGAGTAAATACTTCAGAGGTTAAAAACAAGGCAGCTAATTTGGAAATTTAAAAAAAGAACCCAACAGTTGAACTACATACAGTTATGAGATTTTAAAAACATAACTGACACCTAGCTAAAATAAGAACGAAGCATACTGCTTGCTATCACGTTCTTCTCTAGAGTCTCAAAACAACATCCTCTGAAACTTAACTGGAAGAAAACTGTATGCGGTTTCATGTTTGTTGTTGACAGTTGCCTGAATAAAAAGTTTAAAATATAAACCTGTACTTCTTTTTATTCCCATACTTGTTTTTATTCCTGTCTTCAGTTTTTATTTTCCTTTTCAAAACATTTTTAAGGGTTTTTTTTGGCCTCTGGTGTTTTTCTTTGCTTCTCTTCAGTGAACATACGTGTTTTCCTGTATAGTGTGTTTGAACTTTGCAGGTGCTAGGTCTTCATTGTACGATCACTATTTGTCCTCAGTTGCTTGTTCTCAAATAAGCCAAGTACTAAAGGTTATCTTTTCTTTCCATGCAGAGGAATTTGAAAAATACTGTGATGATATAGCAAATACAGCTGCATGGGGTGGTCAGCTGGAAGTAAGTATTGTACTGATAATTTGTGAAATTCTGAAGTGGGTGAATATACCTTCAAAAAAGGGCTTTTTAGGAAGGAATACCTGAGAGCATAAGGGAACATAGTAATAAATAGTTTATTGAGAACTTTCTCCTATGGTTATAAATTGTTTTCCTAAGTTAGTAGCTTTTCTAATGGTGCGCTGCTGTTATGATATATTTGACGACATGCAAGTTAATGAATTCAGTAGTTCTAAATATCATTAGAAAGATTGACAGTACGAGTAGGGCAAGAGTTTCTAAGGAGAAAGCATTTTATTTTGCAGGCTTAGATGGTAGCAAAGATGACTAGAACAGAGTGATGTTAGATTTTTGTGATGTAAACCAGAACTTTGAGAAAATGTGTATTTGTTTTACTTTATGTCTCATTGTTTTATGAAAGAGTAGTCACCAAATTACTGAAGCTAGCCCAGTGTTACCTATGTTGTGTCATCAGAAGAATGATTAATTTAAGGCAGACTGTTTTCAATTAAAGTCCAAATATTTAAAATAATTTTTCTTATTTTAATAAAGTTTATTTTCTAACAATATTTTGAAATTATATGAATGTCACATCTTCCTCTCTCCTCCCGACATTGGATTTAACCCTATTATTGAATTGTTTTTATGCCTTAAAGCTAAGGGCTTTGTCGCACATTTTGCGAACACCTATTGAAGTAGTGCAAATGGATTCCCCTCCTATTATTGTTGGCGAAGAATATTCGGGCAAACCAATAATACTCGTGTAAGTATGTAATTTTATCCCTTCTTAAAATTAGTGCGCTTATTTCAGTAGCAGAGGGCTCAGCTTTGATTCTCACTCGCTCTATTATTTTCTGTTACGTATCTGACATTGAAGCGCTGCTTGAATAATGATCTCGCAGGTCAGAAATTAATGTTTGTGATTGACACGCTTAGTTTAAAGATATTGCAGTTAGAGTTCTTAAAATGCTGGCGATCAGTCTGAAGTGCGATTCAGTCACTGCTTTGTAGAATGCTACAAGGTCATTTTATGTGTTAGGCAATTAGAAAATAATAGTGAAATTGATAGAGGATGCAGCAGGAAGCTATTTCCCTCTTCGAAGTTTATGTCAATCTGTACCTGGAAGTCACCAGAGTTAAAAACTGTCTTTGTTAATACTCTCGTATTTAATGACCTATTTAATAGATTTCCTGTGCTAAAGCTTGAATTTATTTAAGCTGTTATCCAGTGCTGTTAGCGTTTGGCATGACGTATACTTTTAGTAAACTGAACACAGTTCTGTAACTTTTTTTTTTCAGGTATATGAGACATGCCTATGGATTAGGAGAACATTACAATTCTGTAAAACTGCTAACAGACACTGCTACAGAAAATGGCAGCTAGCATACAACAGTCGTAAATCCACATGGATAACAGTTGCATCTTGATGTGCTGGGCTCCAGACAGACTGGAAAATAAAACTACATAGAATGGATTAAAAATGGAAAGGACTTACAAGGTTTTACTGTAAATCAGAAACAGCTCTTGATTTAAAACAAAACCAAACCAAAACCACACAACAGTATTTTGAACTTGTTGGTATTTATCATGTGTAGAAGATCTCTAAAATGGCTGCTGTGTAGATCAGAAATTTTTTTTTTTTAATAGAGCTTCATTCCCATGCTGCAGTGAAAATACTGAGTAGTAAATGTTTCGGTTAGTGTGCATTTTTGCTGAAGAATTAAAGTTACCTGAAGGTCCCTGTGACGTTATTTCTGGCAGATTTTTATGATCATGGAAGAACTAAGGCATTTAAAATAGTTGATTTTGACTGATGGGATATCCCCTACAGTGTTTGTTTAGTTCTGTCAGGGTCTGACTTTAATGCTGTAGTAGGGATCCCCTTCTTCATCTGGGCAGAGAAGAGCTGGAGGCAAATCCAGTAGGAGCATATCTTGCTTGGCTGAAGGAATTGCACAGTCTTGTTATTTTAAAGAGTTTCATCTAAGATTTTTACCAAAGTTTGACGACTTCACCATTTTTTTGAAGTTGACAGTAGGAGCCGAGCACTTGATG